CTTTATAGCCATCCAAAATAGACAGCGAACGTGCCAGAATAATAATATAAATAATAATAAATAAAGTTAGATACTTCGTTTTGATGTCTGGGGTATTCATTATATGAAGCAAAAATGTACGGCGAAGCCGTAACTGAAACGACACAACCGGGATCGATGCGACGCGTTCTACGCCGTGCGCATTTTTTACGCGTGCCACGCCGAGGGTCGTCGAGAACGCTCTAAAGCTGAGTGACTTGTGAATAGGTGTGGTACGTTTGTGAGAAACTCATTGCAGTCTTTTCCACAGCATATTTTTATCTGGCGAGTGGTGAAATAACTTGCGTTTAAGAATTTCTCAATTCATTTCAATAATTTATACTCGATAAATTGAGTGATTCACACTGCTGAAAGTAACATTTACTGTTTGTATTTTGTAGTTTTTTCAACAAAAAATGTATGTATGCTATTGAATAATGTGTCAATTGTTATAATAGATAAAATAAAATATTGCATACTTCAAATATATGTTATTATTTTGTGGGAGTGTGGGTGTAGTAGATGTGACTGTGTATAGTAGATGTTTGTTCGATGCCACAGTGATAAAATAAATAACACTTCAATATTATGGCTATGACTACCATTCCTTGGGTAGGCAACAAATCGTGATATTACTCTCACAAACATGTGTTAATATTTAAATATTGCACGCTGTGATATTATCCTAATAATAACTAGATTCATATCGCGTGATATCTCAATTTGCACCACCACAACCGAATATACACATACAGATGCTAATTTTTTTTATGTTTGAAGTAGAGGTTCAAACCCACTATACTAGTTTAGGAATAGCTCTGGCACTATTTTCTAATTTCAAAGTGTTGCTAGTAAATTTAGAAAAACCTTTTGTATGAATTGTAAGATTTACTATTTCCGCGTGAGTACAAGCTTACTGCTTTATAAACACGTAAAAAATCAAATGTATGGTTACAATCTCCACATGAATACAAGTGTGGCAGTTTGTAATCTGCATATAAATACAAGTGTGTGGTTTACAGTCTCCACGTGAATTCGAATGTATGGTTTATACTAACCACATGCGACCTGCTTCTGAGCATGAAGTCTCTTAACGAGATCTTGGCGGTCATTTTCCAATAAAGTATATTGGTCAACTGAAAAGCTACAATTAATCAATTTCCTGTCTGATTGGTCATTTTGAAGTGACGTCAACTGCAAGGTAAAATTATGTCGACCAGCCGCTAGATGCATCGTGTTATTCGATTGGTCATAGTGGCCTTACCTGGGTAAGGTGAATATAAACCTGAATCTAAATGTAAAACTCCGAGACAAGCAAACGACAAGCAATTCACTTGTCCACGACAACAGCAACCAGCAACATCAATTTATCCGACTATTTAAAGACCCTCCCCCCATCGCGAAACAAAACAACAAAAAAACGTTTTCATGAAAAACAAACTGTCAAAAATCTTATTACATATGTGCCGACCAGTGTTGTGAAATATGTTTATTTCATATTTATTTTGAATATCATTGAAATATAAATTCAGGATAGCACGCCATCGATGTACTAATTTACCTTAATAGGCGGTGGTCGTCGCACCGCGTTCTGTTCAATATGGGACTCATAGCGACGTATACAACGCGTGTGAAATACATTGTTTATTTACATGGAATTCGAACACGCGCTGCGAGACGACCACCGCGCTTCAACTTCTCATTTTTAAGTTAAATTCGGATGGAAATTGTTTGCAGCAGTCTAGTTATTGAAAATGACCTTGTTTTAAATGTTCCCATAAGTTCCTTCGAACTGTGTAATCTTCACATTTGATTTACACCACTTCTTTAAAAATCCTTCTTTCGAATTTCCAGGGAAAAAGAGAGAGAAAAAAACGGTAAAAATATATATGTTAATATTGGTCGTAACAATTTGGGTACACATTAAAACATAATCGGTCATGCAATAATTTTATTATTTGTTTATACAATATAGTCAGATTTATAGATCAGCCTGAGAGAATTCCATTTTTGCTGGAAAGTGTACACGTTACAGTTTCCAGTATCAACCAACGTTCCTTCGTTAAAGCACTTATAAGAGTGTCTTACAAACAACCACTATGATGTTGGAAGATGTGTGTGCAGGAACAACAACATATCTGCCATGGAATTGGAAGTGATCGCGTGTTCGAGTCATGAATTCTACAAAACAACATCAGTTTCGTATTGACTCGCCTTGATAGCGTGTCTAACTTAACCTACTTTCGTTTTTTCTCATTTCAAAGCATGCTCTTCAACATAGTACATAAAAATAGATTATTAATAATGCGAAGTAAAAATAACACAATACACAATTGATATTCTATTTATTGCCCCATAATTATCAGAATCACTGCTAACAACTTCAAGACGCTAATTAGTCATATTGTAGACTGTTCCTAGATATGGAGTATGGATAGTCGCACGTGAGCAGCGGTCTATTTTGCTCACAATATTCCCTTGTCCATCGTAAATAAAGCATAGTAATAATTAATATAACATCGTAATTGATTGCCGTAATAATACGCTGCTCAGGCTAGTGGATGTGTTTCATTGACCTGACCTCGGATTTAAAGTATCAACTAATTGCTTCCTGATGTACGCTATTAAATGACTGTTCTAATGACATGTTACCGGATAAAAAGTATTATTTGATTGACAGTAATAACTAGACCCCATTACTAATATTACACATAACCCATCCCCGTGACTTCTTAAACGAAATTAATGTCGCGTCCACTTACTAAAAAAGTACCGCTGGTCGACAGAAATATTTTCAACCTTTATTTGCAGTGTTATTTACCTTATACACTTTTGATCACGACTACAACAACAACAACAACAACGACGACGACGACGACGACGACGACGACGAAAACACTCGTGTACTTGCTCGTCGAAAAAAAAATGTTATATTTATTGAACTCAATCTGTCCCTTCATTGAATTAATAAATTCTGTTTTTGAATTAATCTATATTAGACAAATATTCGAATTAATTCTCCTGCTGAATGAACTGTTAATCATAATTCTGTTCACTAGATAATTGCATATGTTTGTGGCGATACAAGTTGCAACCTAACTATCTTTCACGATCCTACCGGTATTTCTCCGGGACAATGTGTTTGATATGCAAATGAAGTGAGCATTTGAAGGGCATTGTGACATGTGCTGTTCGAAAATATGGCGGTACGTGATTGAAATAATGGCACGCGGAATTATATACGTATTCAAATTGGTATGTTTTTATGACCTGTTATTGATTGATTGATTTGAATCATGACATATTCCACGTGTTATCCTGTATTGGTGAGTTGTCACAATACTGTTGAATCTGTCAAATCTGTTTATTATATACTTGCTGGGAATAACGGGATGTTACTGAATTGTACTCGCCATACTGACCTGTTTGATCGGAGGCATTGATTAACATGGTCAAATGTTACCTGCCTCGCGTTTAGAATTATCACAATGGTGAACTATCAAGCGACCTGTTGAGAACTATAATGAATTTGAGGACAATATAGCGATTTAAACACAATATATTGCATTCGTTTGATTTTGACAAATATTTACCTACTTAAATTGTAATTAATGATTGACAAGACGGTATCGCCAGATCCAACGTCTTAATTGGTTTGACATACTGGCATACTAACAGACACATTTTTTTAATTAAGTGGCTCTAGTAACCTCGTGTCATATGGTACAGCACACCACTTTTTCCCTGAGTATAACGACCTTCTGTGCAATGCCGAATGCAGATTACTGCCAGGAAACGGAGAAGTTACTTTATAACAAAACCAATGATAGAATAAAAAGAGGAAACGCCTATTTTGAAGATTGTATAACTGGATTACGTTATCATGCACGTGACACGTTAAGTCTGGGCAGGTATTACATATAAATGTCGATATTATACGGAAATAGCTAAAAGAATTATTCAATTACATCATCTAAAAGATCTACCATTAAATACCATTTGATGCGCTTCTGAAATGGTCTATGGGGAATTACAAGGCATACAACCGGGTATGACTCAGTGCCCTTTGTTAGTGGGACAAGCACAGCGGCGAGTCGCATCTAATGCACCAACATGACACGGTGTCTACAATGATTAGGGACCGATCAGTTTCTTTCTAGGAGGGTATGATGTATATAGACGTAAACATTTATGTGAGCGAAAACAATGCGGGATTATTTCTATCTCGTGTATAAATATATATATATTTAGATTCAGGGGTTGACCAGTTGGCGTTTGGGATGGTATTTGAAGATATTAGTTTATGTCTTTGTAAGCGACGTGTATTTTCGTTTTTGATTTTGACAATTCACCCAAAGGGGGTGTCGACATATACTTGCGCTACGACCCTGAAAATCAAAAGCATGAGCTCCGGCTGGGAGTTGACAGCTTGCCATGCCACACAGAAAAGAACAATTGGAATCAGAATGAATTAAAAAAGCGGATCTATTCTCTTTTTTCAATTTAAAACATCTGAGCATGAAATAGATCACGATACATTTGAGAGTGATGTCGGAAATGAGTGACCGGAAGTTAATCAAAGGTCATCTTCTTAAAGATGTGCAACCACATGGAAAAATCTCTGCTTCAACTAATCTGATTACAGTCAAACGGTAGGTAAAAATAAACGAACATATCGAATATGCATTTTCAAAATGCACGCTGTATGTAAATAAACAACAACAATTACATTAAAATGCCACAGTCGTCGCGCCGCGTCGTGTTCAATATGGGTCCCATACAACGAAAACAACTCGTGCGAAATACATAAGTTTACCCACTGCACGACGAATGTGACGTATTAACCCACCTAAGTTGGTTAAAAATGTATCCTTGTTAGCACACGATTGATTAGAAAGTTAAAAAGAAATTACATAGGGTCTGTTTATGCCTACCAATTATGTAGTCCGTTTCACTTGTTACTGTTACTGTCTGTCTTTATATTAAAGTCTTGACATAACGGCATTATTTCCACCAGCGTAGTCTAAAGACGATCCCATTGTTTTCCTAAAATGCGATTCGTATTTTCCTCCACAAGTACGAATACCACTAAGTAAGTCCTTAAAAGCATGTTTGAACTCCTTGTTGAGGCATCCGTAAAGGAAAGGATTCACCGCAGAATTGGCGTAACCCAACCACGTAAAAATTATTGAAATCATGGCAGGAACACAGTCCCCACAGAGCGGACTTACTATATTCATTACAAAAAATGGTAACCAGCACGCAACGAAGCACCCCATTATAACGCCAAGGGTCTTGGCGGCTTTGCCGTGTTCCTTCACTGCGTTGGCGCGTTTCTGTTTCTTCCGACTCTGTGGTGAGCGAGCCCCCGCGTTCAGTTTCTCCGTTGCCGATGGACTGCCGGTGATCTTGTTTGTCTTACTAATTTGCTTGTGGTGGAAACTAGCTGTCTTATATATTTGCCAGTAAACAATACTCATGATGAGTAGTGGGATATAAAACGAAATCAGCGAAGACGATATAGAAAATGCTGTGTTGAAATTGACCAGGCATTCCATAGGCGGTTGTTGGAACCCAGGACGCGTATACCAACCGAGAAATATCGGAATAAATCCGATGAGAGCCGACATGATCCACACGATTGTAGAAATACATGCTAGTTTATTGGCTGACATCTTGGCATCGTAAGTGAAGGGAAAGTTAATTGCCACGTACCTGTCGATAGCTATGCAACACAAATGGTTGATAGAGGACGTACACCCGACTATGTCTATTGCTAGCCAAAAGTGACAATAAAAATTGCCGAAATGCCACTTTCCGGCAAAATGGTAACTCAGCGTGGTCGTCATGATGAGCGAACCGACCAATTCGTCTGCAAAAGCTAGATTCAATATGAATAAATTTGTCATAGTACGAAGGCGTCGATATTTGAATACTGCAACAATGACAAATACGTTACCGACGATCGCGGCGAGTGTGATAATACAGAACACGATTCCCAGTACGAGGTCTACCATGCTCACCGACCACGGAGGGGGCTCCTGGCACGACGCACCGCTAATGTTATCATCACCGGTGTCGTTGCAGATAAAGGCATGTTTAGATGAATCCATGGTGAAGAGTCAGTGCATGAGAAAGTTCTGGTTGACAATGAACACCGTTGGTGCTCGTTCTTTCTTTCTTTTTTACAATTATTTTGCACACTCTGCCCTTGAGAAACGTATCTTCTGTGACGCTTTCCCTGTATGTGCCGGTGGAATGGAGATTATGTTGATCTCCCTCTCTGGTGGATTGAAAACAAATCTACGGTACCAGTAAATGATGCAAACCCTGTGACGTCTGAATGTATAACACCGTTCGACGCAGCACGATTTTTCACAAATGATATCCCACGCCAGATGTAATGGTAATGCACCAGTAAGATGTGTAAGGTTTTGCGCCAAAAATATAAAGTGGAAAAAAAACGACTATTGACACACTGCAACCAGTCGCAGCACTGTCACCAACCTGGTGTTACTCTGCTCGAACAGCGACGACGGCGCAACCAGTAGGTGTGCATTTCCACTATGACACACGGCTTCGGAAACACAGCCAAGATACAGACCAGTCAAGAATTGAGATCCACTGCATACCAAAATTCAGGAGATGGTGTAAACAGGGAACAAATGCGAGACCCGCTGTCAGCCTAGTCTTGCGCCGTGCTAGCTCACTCGGTGAATGTAAAATTAGACCGAGTATCGTATAGTGCAATTGATTCACGCTTGAATGACAGAAACGAGCATGCGCAGAATCCGCCGCGCTTTATTTGACCTCTCACCACTGAGTAGATCTGGAAACAAGGTGACATATGAAAGTACATGTAGTAATGAAAAGGGTTTAATTGTTTCAGACTTTTTATACTATCACCCATACCCCCCCCCCCCGTCTCTCCACCCGAACACACGCGCACACTTGGCCACGCTGCTCGTGGTATTAAATACGCAATGACAGACAGTTAATCAGGGAGGCTCACGATTTATGTGATAAAAACATCGAATTTTAAACAATGCTAAGATTTTCGGAGGTATCAGCTGCTTCCAATTTACGTTACAAAACCACCATTTTCCCCCACGACACACATTAGTGCACAAATCACGACCCCCTTCTATACGTTAACGAATATACGAAGTTATCCCGGAATTTAACGGTGGTGGGAAGAGGGATAAACACCGTATTTCCCTTTCCAATCGCAATTGCAATAATTAAACCGTACTTTAACTTTCAGTACAATTATCAGGATGCGTCGATGATGTTGAATAAAGGACTCTGCTTTACAATTAACACACGATGGATATGCTAGGGCTAAGCCGACCCAGCTGGTGTGTGTTTTCACTGTAGTTTCACTGGCACGTATCTGTTTTCAATGTAACGAGCTCACCTATACGGGCAGATCGTTTCTCAACGTTGAACTGTAATGAATCGAGGCTTAATGGGCCCTGATCGGGGTGTACCTAATACAGTCCTTGTCCACCGAGTTATCAAATAGCAGGTATACGACTGTTATTTACACAACAACAAACACGACAACAGCTCCGGGACTATACATATTCTTTATACAGTGGAATAATAGGCTGGATTGCCGGTTGTCAGTACACATTTGCGCATATTTGTAGCACAATAACAAAAGATATATAGACGTCTATGTATACAACATGTTTTTGTCATATTATACGCACTTAAGAAAATGACTCCCACCTGCCTTTCACGAAAATAGTAATAAATACACCTTACCCTGGGTAGTCAGTTTTAATTTTAAACCTGTGTGGTCAAAACATGAATGATTTCAGGTTTTGACAGACTATTTGTTTTTAATTGCTTAGCAACGCACCAATATAATATAAGTTGTTTGTTCGTTTTTACAGTAGTCCAGATTGTAATTCAAATCCTCCAACGCGCCCTTTAATTTAACCTGGTAATCAAAGTAGAAATGTCGAACCTTCCCTTAAAATTGACACTCTTAGTATGAATAATTATGGTAACTATTGTATGTATAAATTGCCATGGGAACACTGTAATCCAACATGACAATCAGGGAACCTGTATGAAGATGTGAAGACAGATGACTATAATCTGTACAGTCTCTATTACGTCACAGTCGTGATGTCCATATCTAAGGGATACTCTACATCAATCGAACTTGAAAGTGACAGTGGAAATAAAGCATTCTACTGATGTTGACAAACACATTAATTATTGTGTTTCACAAGATGCACCCAAGAAGCAACTGTTTTTTTGTTTAAAAAAATGGTCAATTGGTGGTGAAGGACAATGCACTTGCTAGTTACTAGTAAATTAACAAATTTGTATCCCAGAAGAAATTAATCTTCCTGATAATGCCAACCGTCGCACGCAAAAATACCTTCTCTTAATAGACGCTTTCACAAAGTATTCAGCTGCCGTCATTGAACCCTCGTTTAAAACTCTCCTGTCCAAAAGTTGCGAAATGTCGGTCCGTCCGTATGAAAATTTTTCTGGGAAAACCTTTTCATCGGGCATTCCATTTTCTGTAATTGTGAGACGTCTTTATAATGGCAAGTTCCAATAAAAACATCATTAACTGATTGACATCCGTTCAGTTCATCGAAAAAAACACTCACGCGCCATGAGTCATCAGGCTCAGATAGCTTTGTTTTGACTCGTCGAGTCCCGCTAGTCACGAAAGTAGTTTAAACTTGCCTTACCCTGGGTATCCAGTTTCAGCCTAGTTTGGAGCAACTGTTATTGCTACCCGACACGCACTGCACTGGTACCAGTGGCGGACCCAGAGGGGGGGGGGGGGCATGGTCCAAACGCATGACGATACATATCATCTAGATTACGCATATCTTCTCTTCGTTTTTCGTTCCGTAATGTTAAGCGAAGCCCCCCCCCCCAATACATTTTGCTGGATCCGCCACTGACTGGTACCATCGAATAAAAACACAATCGACTAAATGACTTTCATTAGTAGCAACTATATTATTAAAGAAAAAAAAATCGATTCGCGCATTATAATTCATCTAGTTCTTGTCTTTTTGGTATTTACATCTGATCGTCGTCAAAAATATTAATAAACACGCTTTAGACTTTGTATCAAGTTTTAGTATAAAACCTGTTTGCTGTGAATTGGATTCCAACATGCACTGGCAGAAATGGTCGTATCACAGAGCAATATCTAAAGAATCAATTGTTTTATTGCGTTGTGTCTGGTATGTTTGTATTCTCCTTGGTTGGCTATGATTGAATTTTTGAGCAGATAATTTGTTTTTAATTTCTTTTCATTTTTGAGAGGTTTGTTTAGTGCAGATCATGTGTAATTTTTCAAATCATTTCAGCCCGGCACACAAATGCAATCCTCATCCTTAAAATTGACTCTATTGATTGATTTTTTAAATTAATTATGTTAACTCTACTTATATATACAAACTGTATATTATATTAACTTACCATGAACACACTACAGCCCAACATAATCCCATACACTGTATCCACAAATGAAGGAAAGAAAAGCAATGCATAGTACAGTGTGGGCATGCTAATTAATATAAGACACCGTCAGGTTTCAATAATGTGATCACGCTTTGCTTTGTAACACGTCACGTGTTTTGTGTCTAATCGTCGTCGAATGGGGGCGCTCCCGCTATATACAAATTGGAAGTAATGAGTTAGAATTTAACTTATATTATGCGGAGTGATACAATTGCTATAAAGAAAGAATATCAGTTACACATTTTATTTTACAAATTCAGTACATGTCCATCATTCCTGTATTTAATCCCAGGGCTCTACTCTGTTATTTGTTATTTGTGATGATCCAACAGTCTACACTGATTTCCTCGTGCTCGATGAATGGAGCCATATTGCAGTATGTGAGCGACGGACTAATTGAACGTGAATGAATTGCTAATATGTTGGCAAGAATGTAATACCCGATGACTCTTTTATGTACGTACTCAAAAACAATCACGCATGCCAGTCACCTGTACTGAAAAAGACCTTAAATGAAACGAAAATCGTCAGATTATGGGCTTCATATTTGCGTGAATGAACACGTCCTCGTGATTTTTTTTATATTTCGGAATATTAAATTACATGACGTTATATAATCGTTTGATATTGAATGATAATGAAAAAATACACAGACTGTCACGTTGTATATACGCCGGCCATATTCGGACATTGCGTCAATCACGTCTTCTGGTAAAATATAAAACCCGTTGATAAAACACTCAGTTACAAATTCACGACTATGGCAATAATATAATAAACATATATATCTACATTATGACCCTGTTTCGTTTATTTATTTACGTTTTTTTAGACACTTTTATACAAATACCACGTTTGTTTCAGTCTCATATGTTTGTAATGTACGTTATGGATTAAGACAACGAGCACACCGGGTTGCATGCTAATTACACGGTTGATTTAACACAGATTGACAAAGATTTGCAATTAGGATCATCGTTAATATCGTATTTTAATCCTCGTAGTATCAACCGCTCTGTAGTAGTTGCATCGTTCCACGGCGCATGCGTGCATTCAATCATGGCGAACGTATGTCAATTAAAGATAAGACGTTCTCCTACCCTTGTTACATTCCTATTTTACTTTGCTTGAGGACGTGCCAGATTAGACATCGATACATACAAGATAAAGACGACTTGGCGAGTGATTTTCCATCGCCAATTTGTCTGTACTTCATATCAACTTCGATAATCATCTTATAAATTCGAAACGTGTACTACCCACTGTACTATTAGGTCAGATTCCATGATATACGCGTTTTTAAACTCGCGACCGCGACTACATTTTTCACTGAAATATGACACAGATAGTCAATCACAGGTCAACGGTATATGTTATGGGGGCTTAGTTTTCAAAGTAATCATTTCTTAGTGCTCTTCTCTAAGATACATTTTAATCGCCTTTATCTCAGTGGCGTCGCTAAACCCCGTGTCCCAGTCGAGTGGACCACATAAATACCCAAAAGTATTGCTTCGTGATCTTCCAAACGGTGGGAATATTTTGTTGCGATCTTCGTTTAGTTTCAAGCACGCACCATTCATTCCGTTGAGATTAATGGACGAAGAAT